CCAACTTACACCATACACAAAAATAAATTCAAGGTGGATAAAAAGATTAAATATAAGTCATGACACCATAAAAGTCCTACAGGAGAAAATAGGCAGGGAAATCTCAGATATTCCATGCAGCAATATTTTCACTGATATGTCCCCTAGAGCAAGGGACATAAAGTAAAGAATAAACAAATGGGATCTCATTGAAATAAAAAGCTTCCGCACAGAAGAAAACAGCATTAAAATTAAAAGAGAATCAACTGTATGGGAAAACATTTGCCAATTATACCTCAGACAAGAGCTTGATCTCCAAAATATATAAAGAACTCACAAGAATCCACTCTAAGAAGACAAACAACCCAATTAAAAAATGGGCAAAAGATCTGGACACTTCTCCAAGGAGGACATACCCCAGAGACATATGAAAAGATGCTTAGCATCACTAGCCATCAGAGAAATTCAAATTAAAACCACAATGAGATACCACTTCACACCAGTCAGAATGGCCATCATAAGCAAATCAACCAACAACAAGTGTTGGAGAGGATGTAGAGAAAAGGGGACCCTAGTGGACTGTTGCTGGGAATGCAGACTGGTGCAGCCACTATGGAAAACAGTATGGAATTTCCTCAGAAAACTAAGAATGGAACTGCCTTTTGACCCAGCTCCACTGCTAGGATTATATCCTAAGAATCCTGAAACACAATCCAAAAGTGTTGGGAACCACCCTTCGTGGTTTCAAAACCTGTAACCCCTCATGGCTAAGGCTGAGTGAGAGACCTTGAGACCTTAAGCCACTGAGACAAAGCTTATCTACCTGGCAGGAGCACAGCCTCTGTGTACTTTACTTCACCCTCCCTGGCCCCCAGTGCGTGACTGGTTAGCCATTGACGAGTAAGATTCCTCAAGGAAGGGATGACCTAAAACAGGCATGGTCACAGAGACCCTGAGGGAAAGGACTTGGGGGGCTATAGAAAAAGGTGGTGATGGACCCTCACCCCTCAGGTTTGACATAACCTGAGTCCTCATTCTGTCTGCAAGAAGTCTCCTAATCTCTTGGCTGCCTTACTTCCCCTGCCTGACTTAAGCCTGTAAAATGACAGAGGGTGGTGCAGTCCTGTACTGGAAAGGGTGGGTTCCCTGGACAATCAGGCCTAAGAAAGAATACATAAAATCCTGTGAAACCTGCTTTGCTAAGAATGCTCTCTATTTTCTGATAAGGGTTTGAGCTGGAAATGAGTTTGTTTCCTGAAGTTTTATAGCCCTTTAGCTAACTGACCCGGAATAAGCCCTGGTAGTTCTTTGTATGTTATCTATTGTTTGATCCTTACTGCCTGACAATGATTGATGAGCTTTACCTGCATTTCTGTGTAAATTGAACCCAATAAAAACCCATTGAGTAAAAGACTCTTGGCCCTTTGGTCCTTTGAGAGATCAGCCTCCTTTCCTCGCCAAGCAGATCTTGTCTTGGTAGACTTATTCTTATCTGTGGTGGCTGCGGGGCCCTGTGGGCAGACCCCCCCCCCGACAACCATACTTGAACAACAATAAAGGGAGGGAGGGAAGGGAGGGAGGGAGGAAGGAAGGAAGGAAGGAAGGAAGGAAGGAAGGAAGGGAGAAAGAAAGAGTGTGGGTCTAAAGGCAGAGGTGAGGTGAGGTTGGGCGGAGGTCATGTGGCTTGTGTAAAGGAGCAACCAAAGTCTGTGGAGCAGGGGAAGTCACCAGAAACAGCTCAAAGTAAAAAGAGGAAATATGGGTCCCTTAGGAACTTCAATACATCAGAAATGGGTCACAGAAAGAGGAATCAGTGAAGAAGTTTAAAAAGAATGGGAAACTAGAAGAGAATGTTTTTATAGAAGCCAAGAAATAAGAGTTTTCACGTTGTACTTAGAGAAAATCCAACCACCAGTGGCTTAAACAAGTATTGATTTATCACAAAGAAAATGTACGGAGCAGATCTGCTGGTAGAGCAGATCAACAAGTTTGTCAGGGAGTTAGGCTCTTCCTCTTTCTCCTACCACCACTTTTAGCACCTGGCCTTCATCTTTATGGTCACAAGGTGGTTGGTATATGTTCCAGGTAGAAAGAAAAAGGAAAGGAGAAAGGGTGAAGGGCAGTACAGGTGTCTGTCTCTTATCAGAAAAGCAAAAGCATTGCTAGAAGATCTGTCACAGGTGGGCACAGGTAACCAGGTTCTTGGTGATGGCGACAAAGAATTGAACCGAACACCCAGAGTTTATAGCAGAGAACATGGGAGCAGGCCAGCTCCAAGCAGAGATGAACCTCGTGGGCTGGAGAGACTCTATTCTTACAGGGCAGATTCTTCCTGACTAGTTTTGGTGGGCTTTTACTGCGCATGTACAAGTAGTTGTATTACTTTAAAGCTACTGTGCATGTGGTCTCCCATGATTTTCCCTGGCTGGCCACCAGAGAAGAGGGTTCCACAATGTTACTGAATTGATCCCCCCTTCTCCTGGGGTCCCCCTGTACTAGGTTTACCTTTCCCTTTGCCAGAGAATTATAGCTCTCATGTTAAAGATTGGTGAAAAGGAAAGGAGTTATTTATTCAAGTTATACAGACCTGAGAGTAATGAGTTAATGTTTTCATCAAAATTCCAAACTCCCTTAAAACACCCACAGACACACACCGTCCTTCCTTTCCTCCTTTGCCCAGTCTGGGGTACCATATCTCAGGAAGAAAAATAGAAGTCTGTGGCTCAGGCAGCCCTCGGTTCTTCCCAGTAATCCATGCTCAGCTGGTAGGCCTCCCTCGGTTCCCAGCACTATCGGTTGTTTTGCCAGGATTTCCAGCTAAAGCCACATGGTGGTTCTCTGCTAAAGCTCCGTGGTGATTCTTCTCATGGCTGGGAGGGGTCCCCACTATGCCAAAAGCGTATAGTTCTCCTTCCCTAGGCTGCGGCATCTGGGTTTAAATCCCCACGCCAATCTTCCTCTGCAGCCCCATTTCCGACTCCTCCCACAATCGGCTACACTTGCCAGCACTCACATATCCTTCCAGCTTTACTGGGCCGCCATTGTGAGTCTGGGCAGGCGTGGCCCCATAGCATGGAGCCAATCTTCTCCAAGCTCTCACACAGGAGCTGTAAGCAGGGGAGTTGCCTCCCAGTTACTTCGTGGGTGGAAGTCACTCCCTTCTCCCTGGCTCAGAGCTCTGCCACAGCTATTTAACATATCTATGAAACCAGTTAAAGGTTATAGAGATGGGTTAAATGACTATGCCAGAGGTTAGCTACAAAGCTTTTGCTATGCAAAACAGCTCTCAATGGCCCTGCAACATGTGTACCTTCCCCCAACTCACACCTGTGGTGAGGAGTGGTGAGGACATCCTATATATCTTTCTAATATTTCCTGGACACCTTGAGTTCTAGACCCCATTACAAATCTTTCTTTTGGGCCACCCCCCTGGCTGCACCCTCCTACAGACCTACATACCTCTCATTGGTCCAACTCTTTCACTTGGCCATCCCTAACGGGAGGAGGACTAGAAGAACTGGGGCTAAAAGTTGGGTTAACCAATGAGCTTTCTGCCACAGAATATAATAAACAAAAGCTACCAGGAGGTCAAGAAAGATGAATGGGGGGTGGGAGGACACTAAAGGAGGACACGGCAGTATCACAAAGCTTCCCCCACCCCAGCCCCACAACTTTATCAAAGCAATTTGAGGAGTTCATTAGGCATGGAAAGACTAACTGGTGGATGAGAAATTAGAATGAATGGTTCTTTCCTAATGTTTGAAGATGAAAATAATGTAGCAAGCAAAATTCTAAAGGAGAGGTATAATAGACAGATATTTTGCTTGGTTTTATAATTGTGGATACTCAAGTATGTTTAAAGGCTGAGGAGTAGGAATAATTGGAAAGGGGGAGATTTGAGGTAGAAATGCCGTGAAATAGAGATCAACTGTTGGAAAATGGTAAAAAAAAAAAAAATAGGTGGCAGGGGATTAAACATATCCTCTTCCTCCAAAACCAGAAAAGAAGGATAACAACGATAGTACAAGTTTACATGTGGGCCCGAAAAAAAACATGAAATGTTGAAAATTTTATTTTGGCAAAAATATACTTTAAAATTCTTTTAGAAAATAAACTTTGACTTCACTATTTTCCAGTTTTAATAAAGGCATGAGAAAGTTATTAAGATTTCACCAGAATTCAGGTGTGGTTTGTTTTTTTAGGCCCGTTGACCAGACAAGCTAAATTGAAACCACATTAGGATTTTACTGATTTACTGAACGGAGACCGAGAATGTTTTATTTGTGTGTGTGTGTGTGTGTGTGTTTTTAGCATCTCAATATTTCATTTTTTTTCCTCCTCTCCTTTGCTGGACTGGAGAACCCCGAGAGTATGGAGATGATATTTAGCATTTTTCTTACTCTTCTGTGGTAACGGAAAGCAGTGAGGTAAAGATGCTGGTAAGAGCAATGGAAAAAGCCCTTACAGAAGCATCCTTAACTTTCTCTGCAAATTTATTTCGATTGTGCTCTCAAACTCCTTCACATTAGAATGCCTCGGAGGTGACGCTCAGCAGGCCTAGAGAGCAGGACGCCGCAACAAGAATCTTCAGAAATCTGGAAAATAACGGAGGCCACAGAGCTGGTTAAACCTTATTAGAGAAGAACCAGCAGCACTGACCCAGACTCAGTTACGGCCCGTAAGTTCCAAAATCAGAGCCGGAATCTGACAAGCCCGCCACGACGTTCACAAGGGGTCTCACTTTTCATTGACCGACCACCCCGGCGTTAGGACCTTACTTCATTTTCATTGGTTGTTGCTTCTGTACGTACTTTCACCACACCCACTTTCTCACCAGCGCCCAGTGAGCTTTGCGGGATAGTGATTTACAGAAGTCTGGGCGCGAGCCTGAACGCGGAGAGCGAATTTCCCCCTCCTCAGCTTCGTGGCCCCGCCCCGCCCCGCCCCGCCCCGCCCCGCCCCAAGGCGGAGGCCCGCCCGGCCCCGCCTCTCCCTCCAGAGAGGGCGGGGACCAGGCGGTGGCCGCTGCTGCAGGAATATGCTGGAAGCCAGTGGGCGGGCAACCGAACGGTGCTGAAGGGACAGTTCCCGCGGCCGAACTTGCCCAGTGCTATTGGGAGGGTGGGGCAGCCCTTGGAGCCGGCGGGGCGCGTGAGCGATGGAGACCATATGGGTCTACCAGTTCCGCCTCATCGTGATCGGGGACTCCACCGTGGGCAAGTCGTGCCTCCTGCACCGTTTCACCCAGGGCCGCTTTCCCGGGCTGCGCTCCCCCGCCTGCGACCCCACCGTCGGCGTGGACTTCTTCTCCCGCCTGCTGGAGATCGAACCGGGCAAAAGGATCAAGCTGCAGCTCTGGGACACGGCGGGTCAGGAGCGGTTCAGGTAGGGCCGCCCGCGCCGGGATACCCGGGGACCTCAGGAACCGGCGGCGCCCCCTCTGTCAACCCGGGCGCCCTATCCCCGAGCTCCGGCCGCAGGAGCCCTGGGCTGGAGAACCTCTCTGGCCCTTCCCTCTTGAAAGTGCAAACACTCCATTCTCGCTTCCCCTTGCCCCTCCTCTTCCAGGAACGACTTCCTCCTCCTCAATTACTCACTTCTTTGGCGCCCATTTCCTGCGCGCCCTTTCGGCTTTTCCCTACCCGCCTGAAATGGGGTCACCCTCACGGACCCCCCTCTTCGCCAACTCTCTCAGTCCCAGCTGGTATTTTGGTCCCCAACTCTTTGGCCCCCTTGCTGCCTTCTCCCCAAACTCAGCGTACCTCGCTGCGCACACCCTCCTCACAGCTCGCTTTTTCCTCTTCTAACCAAGCTGTTTCCCCGTTGTGCGCGCCGGAGAACTGCAAAGTAGGTTTCCCAGGTTTGTGACTGATCCCCTTAGCTTCACTGCAAGCAATGCTGAGGCCCACGTTACTGCCTGAGCTCACTGAGCATCGTTTAGAGGGAGATGGATGCGGTAATGGTTTGAGCACCTCACAGCACCGAATGTGGCCATTAGAAATACGGGGCCATCACCCGTAGGAATGAGTCTTGTATAACAAGGAGGTGTAACATCGGGGGAACAGGCACAGCTGAGGGATTTTTGTTTTGTTTTGCTTTTTAAAGGTTGAGCTCTCTTTCGAAGTTTGTCGTCATTGGTGCTTTGGTGGGAAAAAGAGATGCTGAGGTTTGTCGGGAACTTTTATTTATTCTTTTATAATGAGTACTTAACGTTCCAGGGTAATAATACATCCGAATATACATTTCTAAACAGAGAAGGAGGGATCCAAATGAGTAGTCTCACTCCAAATGTTCGCTGAGACCCTGAAAGAAGGATTTCACAAAGGTGACTATGCAAATAAAACCAAATGTAAATTGTATGTATTTTCTGGATATTTAAGACTAAACCAGAGACAAATCACATTTTAAATTTCTAGGATTCAGGGACACTTTTTTTAGTGGAAGGTAGGAAATCTGATATATTTTGGTCTTTGGTTTCTTTTTTTAACATTTCAAATCTGTAAGCAAACATTTTGCAATCTTCAGCAAATACATGGCCTGTGAAATACAGTGCCCCATGAGGGGACTTCCCAAACATGGCTCCTCCTCACCCCCAGCCAGCATCCCATTCTCTATGAGATCAGACTACTTCTGTGAGATTGTTCCAACATTTAAAGTTTTGGCTTCCGTTCCCAGCTATGACACTGATTCATAGAGATGACATCAGTGAACTGCTTAGCTTGCTTATTCCTTAGTTTTCCTATGTATGAAGTGGAAAGATGATAAGACCAGCCCTTCAAAAAGGTGTTAAACGTTATTGATTTGAATTACACAATACCTAGAATTTCATGAAGAAATTTTTTCCATTTCAAGAATTTCCTTTAATTAAAATAATTTTCAAACTTCTGATTCCTCATCTGTGAAATGAAGGAGCCATTGAGATCTCTAAGATTCTTTGCGATTTTACCATTATAAGGTGGACTGCAAATTCTTTGTGATGCATTCAGAGATGAATTCTAAGATATATCAGGGTCAGGAAAAAAGCATTCACTAATAGCTCTTGCTCCACCCCCTAAAGTGAATATAATAAAAACATGTTTTTTATGCTTTAAACTTCTAGCCTCTACTGTGAACTGCAACTTCAAGAAACATGAGTAGTAAAATCTTATTGTATCTAATTGTTTCTTAAAAGTAGCTCCTGAACTTATTGACAAGAAAGTAAAGGATAATTAGATAGATCTTAAAGACCTTTCTGCTAGATAATTACCTTTAAGAAGAATGTAAATAGTAATTCATTTTAATGTTATTAAAACCATTTATATACATTATTATGGGAGTTAGCAGACAGTAACTCCCATAATAATGCAAGGGTGTGTACAAAATGTGTATTGACAATGAATCTTACCTTATTTTTGTCTGGATCTTTACCAAAGGTACGTTTATAAATAAGAGGGGGCACCCCCCAAAAACCTCCAGAATTTATTTATAAAAAATTATTTATTCTTACATGTTTAAACTTCAGTCACCTTCAAAGTACTCTCTGTAAGATGCAACACACATATCAAGACATTTTTTCCACTGCTGCTCAAAACAATTTTTGAACTTGTTGGTTTTGATGCCTTTTAGTGCTTCTGCCATTTTTTGTTCTACCTCTTCCACATTGGCAAAACATTTCCCCTTTGAGGATTTATTTCATTTGCGGAAACAAAAAAAATTTGCTTGGGGTGCAATCTGGTGAATAGGGAAGATGGGGCATGGGTGTCATGTCATTTTTAGTCAAAAACTGCTGAACGCTCAGCATGTTCAGGGCAGGTGCACTTGTAAATCACCCATCATGAAATGGGCAAACACATTTAAAGAGTCTTAAAAAAAATTCACTGAAGTCGAATGCAACTTCTCACAACAATGCCAGCTGATACACTGATACAGATGGGTTCCCAAAACACTCACCTAGTGGGGGAAGCCTGTATTATAAGGGGCCTGCCCTCTAGAGGATAATTCCCATTTTGGGGGAGTTGCCCCATACATATATATTTTAATAGTTAGATCCAATTACTTGATTTTCTTTTTTTTAGTAAATTATGTTTGTTTGTTTTTATGTGAGTTGTGTTTATTATATTTTTTTATATTTTAGTTGTTCAAGTACAGTTTTCTGCCTTTTACTCCCATCCCAGCTTAGTAAAATGTTTCACCATAAGATTCAGCATAAAACATTCTGTTAAATCATTCTGTATCTTCAGGAAAATACAGATACTTCTTTTGCATAATAGATATCCCTGAACATGTATTTCATAGAAAGATACTATAGTTCAAAAAGATGTATTTCTGTCATAAATCATACCATTAGGAATTTGGGAAATCTCATATTTGGAGATTTATTAGTCATTAGTTTTTTTAAATATATTTTACTGATTATGCTACTACAGTTGTCCCATTACCCCCCCTTCACTTCCCTCCACCCTGCACACCCTCTCCCACCCACATTCCCCCCTTTAGTTTATGTCCATGTGTCATAAGTTCTTTAGCTTCTACATTTCCCGTACTATTCCTGCCCTCCCCCTGTCTATTTTCTACCTACCATCTATGCTACTTATTCTCTGTATCTTTTCCCCATCTCTCACCCTTCTACTCCCCAGTTGATAACCCTCCAGGTGATCTCCATTTCTGTGGTTCTGTTCCTGTTCTAGCTGTTTGCTTAGTTCCTTTTTGTTTTTGTTTTAGGTGGGGTTGTTAATAATTGTGAGTTTGCTGTCATTTTACTATACATGTTTTTTATCTTTTTCTTAGATAAGTCCCTTTAACATTTCATAAAATAAAGGCTTGGTGATGATGAACTCCTTTAATTTGACCTTATCTGAGAAGCCCTTTATCTGCCCTTCCATTCTAAATGAAAGCTTTGCTGGATAGAGCAATCTGGGATGGAGGTCCTTGCCTTTCATGACCTTGAATACTTCTTTCCAGCCCCTTCTTGCCTGCAAGGTCTCTTTTGAGAAATCAGCTGACAGTCTGATGGGAACTCCTTTGTAGGTGACTATCCCCTTATCTCTTGCTTCTTCTAGGATTCTCTCCTTCATTTTTACCTTGGCTAATGTAATTATGATGTGCCTTGGTATGTTTCTTCTTGGGTCCAACTTCTTTGGGACTCTCTGGGCTGCCTGGACTTCCTGGAAGTCTTATTTCCTTTGCCAGAATGGGGAAGTTCTCTTTTATTATTTGTTAAAATAAGTTTTCCACTTGTTGATCTTCCTCTTCTCCTTCTGGTACCCCTATGATTCAGATGTTGGAATGTTTAAAGATGTCCTGGAGGTTCCTAAGCCACTCCTCATGTTTTTGAATTCTTATTTCTTCATTCTTTTCTGATTGTATTTTTTTTCCTTCCTTCTGGTCCACTCCATTGATGTGAGACCCAGTTTCCTTCTCATCACTATTGGTTCCCTGTGCATTTTCCTTCATTTCTTTTATGGTAACCTGCATTTGTTCATCTAATTTGTGACCAAAATCAACCAATTCTGTGAGCTTCCTGATCACCAGTGCTTTGAACTGTGCATCTGATAGGTTGGCTATCTCTCGGTCACTTAAAAGTACTGCTTGTGGGGTTTTCATTTGTTCTTCTGTTTGAGCCATCTTTTTTTCCCCTTTGGGCTGGTTGTGCCTCATAGGTATGAGGGGCGGAGCCTTTGGTGTTCACCAGGTGTTTTCATTGACTGCCCCATGCTCTATTTACCAGTGCTGGGATCCTGGGTTGCGTGCAGTGCCTTGCTTCACAATTACTGCCTTGCTGGGTCTACCAGCTGCCGCTTGCACGCCCAGGGTCCGCCTGCTGCAATCTTGCGCACCGGGGATGCCCTATGTTGGTCCCAATGCTCTTTGTTCTGTGACCCCTCTCCACCTAGCTGCCCGACTGCCTGACTCTGCCCCTCCTACCGGTCTGGATGAACGTGTCTATTTTAACTCCTTGGTAGTCTGACTTACATATAGTTCAATTTTCTGTCAGTTCTAGTTGTTATTCTAAGTTGTTGTTGTCCCTATCTTGGTTGTGTGATGAGGCACAGTGTGTCTACCTACGCCTCCATCTTGGCCAGAATTATAGTGATTAGTTTTAAACTAACAAAAATGAACCTCCTTTAGGCAGCTTGGGGTGTAGCTTGAAAACATAGACAAATATGTTACAAAATAACTAAAGAGTGGGCCAGTAATTGTAACCAAAATTAGTTTTAGTTTTCTTTCCCACCCAGGTTTATTAAAATATAATAGACAAATTTATTTATCTATTCCTTAGTTTTCAATGTTCTGATTAACAGGCAGACAATAACTTCTTGAAAAAATAAAAGGGAATAAAGTAAAACTTAAGAAGGTTTAGAACAGCAATTTTCAACTGATATGCTACAAGAATTTTTAAAACATAC